TGGGGGGATAGGCACCGCACTGTGCTCAGCTGCGCCTAATTCTACATTCTCATGAGCACGAGGGGTACTCAGCGTTACGAAAATTATAGAAGGGGTACACACATGTCAAAAGTTTGGGAAACACTGTGGGGGCCTGAACCAACCAAATGTCCAGGTTTGCCTAGAACTGAGGGGTTTCTGGAGGCAGGACTTTCCATGCTAAAACGGGGTCAGTTCCAGGCTAACGGGGACCATAGGTCGCCCTCCTGCTCGCCCCACCCCCAGGCTGCTTCCTCTTCCCTGTGGTGAGGATGGTGCCCCAGGCATTTCAGCATTCTCTCTCCCTTCCTCCTTCCCTCTCTCTCCCTCCCTCTTTCTCCCTCTCTCTCTCTCCCTTTCTCCCTCTCTCTCCCTCCCTCTCCTTCCCTTTCCCTTCCTCTTTCTCCCTCTCTCTCTCTCCCTCTCTCTCCCTCCCTCTCCCTCCCTCTCTCTCTTTCCCTCTCCTTCCCTCTCTCTCCCTCTCTCCCCCTGGTTGACCTCTCCTGCCTTGAAGCCTCTAGTCCAGGGCACACCACCCAGAGACGGGACACACCACCCCTGACCATTCCCTCTTGTGGGCCCGGCCAGCTCTCTACTCCTCAAAACTTGCCAGATCTTTTCCCTACGGATCCCCTAGCGGATGGGGCTCCACCCACACCCCACTCCCATGAGGGGCCCCTGGCATGAGTGTCAAGGTGGAGAGAGCCTGTGTATCCCAAGGTGGAGAGAGCCTGTGTATCTCTCCGCCCCAGAGACGGGAGCACCCTGGGCACACGCAGGCCAGCCTGGTCTGCTCCGCTTTCCGGGCCACAGGCCTGAGCCCTTCCCTTCTCCGCTGTGCTCACCCCCGGCTGTGCTAACACTCCCAGGCCTCCTGCTCACTCTCCCTGGACCCCCACTGCTCTGCCTGGCCCAGCCCCCTCCCTCCCAGCTCTGGACACAGCTTCCTACTGTGTGCTTCACTGGCTGGGGGGACAAGGAAGTGAGCAGCTCTGAGAAAAACACTCTGAGTTACTTTGCAGCTACCTGGGAGAAGAGAGTCCCCTACAGGGGAGACCCCAGGGGTTCGGCTCCCGCAAGGGCTCACCTCCCACTGCCAGGCCTAAAGCTGGGAAGCTCCAGAGGCCCCTGCCCGGTGTGCCCCGGAGAGCAGAATGGGGGGGGGGGGGGTGCGGGTCCCCAGACCAGCTCTCCTGCTGCTTCCGGATGCCTCTAAGGGCTTTGGCCCTGCCCCGCTCTGGCATGTGTGTTCTTTGGGGAGGCGGGCCCAGACTTTGTCTCTGGCACCTGGAGCCCCCCCAGGACTGGTCCTTTTGGCCCCATGTCACGGACTCTCTCACCCAGAGCCAGGCCTGGCCGGACCTGCAAGGCCTGCATACACTCTAATCCAGCGGTCGCCAACCTTTCGGGCCTCACGGGCCAGCAGTGGTCTGCGGGCCACCGATTGGCGACCCCTGCTCTAGTCAGCAGGACTTAGCACAGCAGCTTCCTCAGCCAGGAATAGGGGGAGTGGGGGAAGTGGGTTTGTGGGAAAGCAACACTGTACTTTAAGCCGCCTTCGTATCTCTCCTTATTCAGAGGGCTGCTCCCTGGTAACTGGGCTCTCATGCAATCTGGCTTTGCTCATCCCCTTCCTCAGTACTCACCCACCCGCCCAGAGCTGTCTAATGGTGACCTCTAGGGGTCAGCCCCGGTCAAAAAGGATGGCTCCCAGGCACCGGGACCTGAGCCTGGAACTGGACCCGTAGGATCCGGAGGCAGGTGAGGTACAGGAACTGCTTCCAGGAGCTCCGATGCCGGCTGGAGATGGATGACAGTCAGAGCCTGGGAACGAGGCCGGGGGAGGGGAGCAGGCAGAGAAGACTCCTGGAGGGGGTGGGCCTGGTGGGGTTTCTGAGCAGGGAACAGCTTGAAGGGGGCACAGAAAGGCTGCTGAGACGGTGCCTCGGGATCCCCTCTCCAGGTCTCAGAGGTCTCCGTACACCACCCATCCACAATGTGTGCAGTCCCACATCCTTTGGGGCGCCTCCAGGAAAGCATCCAGAGGCGGCGGTCAAGGCTACCTGAGGCCAGAAAAAAACTATGGGGAGCTTCACCCTCGTATAGACGCATACGGAGGTTACTGTGCTTTTTCATTTCATCTGCCAATGGCTCGAAGTAGTTACACCTCATTGGCTAGGTGAGGACCAGAGCCACGCAGCCAGTAAGCGGTGAAGTTAATCTGGACTCTATAAATTGCATTGCCTCGTTTAGGACGAGGTTGAGGACGGGCAAGGAGCGCTTGTATTTAACGATCACCCATTCTGGAAGCAGTGACCAGGGTCTGAGGCGTGCCGGCTCTCTGCCAGCTCTGTGCTCCCGTCTCAGCGAGTCATCCAGAGGGTCTCTCTTCCCCTGCAAGCTTTCCTCCTCTTTCCTTCCTCAGCAAGAGTCTCCAGGCTTGCGGCACCTGCCCTCGGGTTGGCTCTGGGTCTGTGGACCATAGACCCATCATACCTTCCAAAGGGAAGAGATGTGACCCAGACCTTAGAAGTAAAATACTGGGGCATCTGGTGGGGTTAAGATGCGGGGGGGGGGGGGGGGGGGGGAGCGATGGGCAAGGGAGGCAGGTGCCCCGCTGGTTTCTAGTAGTTGCATCCGGGCCTCACACTGGCTGTGCGGCCTAGGCAAATGAGGCTACCTTTCTGAGCTTCCTCATCTTCATTCTGATGGAGTTGGGAGGTGGGGGTTATGAGACTGAAGGTTGGGGAGCTGGGGAGCAGGAGGCGTGAAGGGGAAGGCCACGCCTCCCTAGCCCGGGCTTTTGTAACTCTGCTGCCCCCTAGTGGTGGCAGGGAGTAACAGGATCAGGGCCTCCTGGAACATCACTCTGTCACCTTCCTGCCTCCCGACAGGGAAGGGGGATTCGCTCTTAGTGGCCTCTACCAGCCCCCGCCTCCTCAGGGCGGCCTGCGGTCTGGGTGAAAGGCGGGCACAGCCTGCCTATGTATACGATACCCGCAGCTGCGCCCAGGATGGCACGGGATATTCACTCATACATTCATTCTGCAAGTGGTGGTGGGGTCTGTCGTTTGCAAGGGCGCTGTGCCAGGCCCGTGGCACCCCATTTCCGCTCTCAGAGAGCCTCTGTCCAGTGGGGGAGCACACAGGCCCTGGGGGAAACAGGAGCGCGGTGGGGCCGCTCTGAGGCGTGACGGTGACACGGGGGCAGCTCAGGCCCGGAAGCTGTGGGGCTCTGACTGCCGGTGTGTCCTGGGCACGTGGGTCTCCAGCTGACGGGCTTTTGCCACCAGGTCAGTGGAGTCCCTCCTGGAAGGGTCACCCTCCCCACGGGGCGGCTGGATTTCCTCCTGGGCCTCCTGTCCCCTGGCCGGGAATGGGACTGGGGGGGGGGGGGGCAGCAGATCTTGCCTCACCCCCTTGCAGCCTCTTCTATCTATACCCCTCCTCCTCCACCTGGTCTGGGAGTCTGGGTCCCAAACACGGGAGAGAACATAAGAACCCCTCCCAGGCTGATGCTCTCTCTGCAGACCTCCGGCTCCAACAACATGGTGGGCCGTGGATGGGAAGCTGCCTGCCATGCTCCAGGGCCTACACTGCCTCCCCCACTCCCCGCCTTCAGAGGCTCTGCAGGAACCCAGCGGCTGAGGGGGGCAGCGCATGGAGAAGGTGGGGATGGGGTGAGTGTGCCTGGGAGAGGCCCAGGGCAAGGGGCCTGGGTGCAATCCGTTGCTGGGGAAGCAGATGAGTCTGACTCAGTGGGAACATCGGGCGGGAAAGGAAGAGAGAGCAGGGGCATTGTTTCCAAGGGAACTCTGGGTCTGTGGAGATGGATGAGGGTTAGGGTGCCGTGTGAGGGCCTGGCCAGGAAAGAGGCTAGCCGTGGAGGGGAGGGCCCCCAGGAAGTGGGGTTCGAGAGGAGCAGAGGTGGGCCTCTGGCTGGGCTGGAACCAGAAGAGCACGAGCTATGGGGTGGGTTTAGGGAAACGGAGCTTGTCCGTCAGGAAGGCAGGGGTTGCTGGCGCGCCGCCGCTGCCCCGGGCAGAGGGAGGGACAGCCTTAGCTGCACAGGGAACGCTGAGCGAGAAACTTTCCCGAGAAAGGCTGCTTCCTTTCTCTGGTCAGAGAGGCCGAAAGGGCCAGCCCTCTGGAGCCAGGGCCCCGTGTTAGGCGCCTGAGGAGGGAGGTGGTGTGGCCGGCTGGGAGCTGTGGTAGCAAGGGCCCTCCACCCCGTCCCACAGAGACACGCACAGGAGGGGCAGAACTTTTTATTGTTATTATTTTTTATTTTTACATATTTTATTGATTTTTTTTTTGCCCCCCGCCCTCCCTCCCACATATCCCCTCCCTCCCCAGAGTTTTGTGTCCATTGGTTGTACTTATATGCATGTATACAAGTCCTTCGGTTGATCTCTTATCTCCCCCAGACCCTCCTCAGGAGGGGCAGAACTTTAACGCACTGGAAAGACGGCGCTCAGCCTGGAGGAACGAGTGACTAATGGTGTTATTTTAGGTATGAGTAGTATTTGGGGGCAGAGATGAGGTCAGGTGAGCTTCTCGGTCGCTTCAGCTTTTGTTCACAGGCTGGGGCGGAGAGCGAGGGGAGGCTCCTCTGAGGGGGGGGGGGGGGGGGCCTCAGACCAGGTTGTAAGAGGCTGTGTCCCATGTCCCGTGGGCCTCTCTCTACCACAGGGAGGGCTCAGGGCCGCCCGTCAGTCTGCAGGCAGGCCCGGCTGGGCCGTGCTGTGCCCGGGGCCGTGGGGAAAGTGGGGGGGGGGACCTGGGGCCGGTTCCCCGTGTCGGCTCCACCTGCCAGGGAGAGGTCCTGCCGGTCGGTCTGGGGACAGGGGCGGGGCAGGGAGAGGTGCTGCAGGACGGCTGGCTGCCGGCGGCTGGCCCTCGCCCTCGGAGAGTGGATGGGTGGGGGCAGTGGCCAGGGCGTTCCTGGCCGGGAGCCCAGCAGAGTCTTTTGTAATCACAACATGATCTCGTGTGCTGAGCGGCGAAGCCGGCAGGGAGAGGCCGGCGGAGGCCTGGCCCCAGTGGCTCCCGCGTCCCTCCTGCTCCGGCTCCCCCGGGGCTGCTCTGGAATCCTCTCCGTGCCTGCGGCTGCCATGCACTCGGCTGTGAGTGGCACCTCGCCCCTGACGGAGGGCTGCTTGGGGCTGGGAGAGGGCTGAGACCTCAGGAGGCCGTGCTCCTGGCAGCGGGGGGCAGCTGGGCCCAGGGGGAGAAGGGCTGTGCCCAGGCCGGCGGAGGGCCGGGCAGGGGCGTTGGGGACAAAGGAAGACCCTGCAGCCAGGCCGGGAGGGGCTGGGCCTCCCCGGAGCCGGCTCTGCTGTGACCGTGCCCGTGGCCAGCAGCCCACGCCCCGAGGGGCTGGGCCCCCGGAAGCAGCTCTTTCCCACAGGCCGGGCGCAGGCCTGGGGTCCAGGGCCTGGGAGTTCAGAGCGAATCAGGGGCCTCTCTTTTCACGGTGGCTCTCGGCCTGGGAGCCAAACAGCTCGCTCCTCGGCCTCCCGGATCCCCTGGCAGCTTCCCAGTCACGGCAGGTTCCGCTGCCAGAGCCATTTATAACTCCCATTCCAGGCTGGCGCTCCCTGGAGAGCAGGGGGGAGGGGCAGCCCGCGGCTGGGAGCCTGGGGCCTGGGTAGGAGGCCTTGACCTGAGCCCAAGAATGCAGAGCGAAGGGCAGACGGGCCTCGTGGGGTGGGGGCCTGGGCCCCCTCTGTGCCATCTCCCCTGGTGCCCCTAGCTCGGGCCTCGGGTCTGTTCCCCGGGTGGTGGGGGGGGGGGGGTGAGAATCTGGTTGGTGGGAAGGTCGGGGCACCGGTGAGTGTGGGGCCCCCTGCCCTCCGCAGGCGCCTCACGGGGCTGAGACCCCGGTGAACAGGCAGGAAGAGAAGGACGCAGAGCTGGACCGGAGGATAGTCGCTCTTCGAAAGAAGAACCAGGCCCTGCTGCGCAGGTACCAGGTGCGTGGCTGTGCCAGGGGCCGGGGGACCGGCTGGGTTGGCGGCCCTGTCTGACCCGCAGCCCCAGTGTGGCGGTCTCTCCCTGAAGGCTCCGGTTGGGGCGGCGTAAGGGAGGGTGGGGTCCACCTCAGGGGCTCCGTAGGGTCTTGGGGACTCGGTGACGTGGTGCCTCTGCCTCCTGGTGTCCCGCCGGCGTCTGTCCTCTGTGCTTCGGGGCCCGTGCTGACCCGGGTCCTCCACAGGAGATCCAGGAGGACCGCCGGCAGGCGGAGCAGGGGGGCCTGGCTGTGACCACGCCGGAGCTGCTGCCAGCCGACAGCCTCACCGTCACCATCAGCCAGGTTCGCGGGGTAAGCCCCGCCCCGGCAGGGCAGGGTGGCAAGGAGGTGGAGGGCCAGCCCACATCAGGGGCGGACACCCACTCCTGCCCCTCTGCTTCTCCCACATACAGTCCCGGCTGCTCTCCAGCTCCCAGCCCCATGCAGCCCAAGCCTGTCCCAGCCCCCAGGGCCACAGCTGAAAGGCCAACAAGTAGAAGCCTCCTCATCCCCTTGTCCAGCCCCACAGCCCGGTCCACAGGCCTCAAAGAACTCCTAAAGCCCACGCCCCCGGGGCCAGGGAGCTGGGACTGGAGGCCGGGAACAGAGGCTGAGGGACAGAGCCCCATGGTCCGGCCGCTCTGGGCTTCCCGGCTCAGGGATGACCAGTCACTGTGGCATCTTGGGCCCCGGGTGGCCCCAGGCCCTGTAACCTAATGCCGTGAGCTCCTGTGGAGTCAGCCCCTCTGTGGGCATTCCGGGGAGGGCGGGGGGGGGGGGGGGGGAGCCCGGCCTGGGGAACCCCCGGAGGCCCCAGCCCCAGCACCGCCCACAGGGCCGGGGGCAGAGCTCCTTGTTCTGCAGGGGAAGCGGGTGGTCAGCCGGCACGGGGCGAGGAGCACCCTTGGGCCCGGAGCAGCCAAAGAGACGCTGGAGGATGAGGAGGTGGGGGACCTCGCTGACGCTTTCTGCCTGGGGGAGCGGGTGGAGCTGGCCGTGACCATGGAGAACAAAGCCGAGGTGAGCAGGGTGAGGGGGGCAGCCCGGGCGCGCGGTGGGCAGCCTCCCCCCCTCCCCCCCCCTGCTCTGCCACACTGTCCGCCCGCCCTCCCCCCCGCCAGGCCAAGCGGATCGTGAGTGAGAAGCCCAGAGCACGGGGCCAGGGGGCAGAGGGGCCGCCCGGAGAGGGCCTGGGCCGGAGCTCCTTCGCGCACGCGGCTGCCGGCGTGGATTCTGCACGGAGGGTATGTCCTCGGGAGGGGTGGGGACGTGGATGTGGCGGTGCCCCTCTGCGGAGGTCAGGAAGCTGAGTCACGTGTCCCCCTCTGAGGGGACCTGGCCCGGCAGCTCCAGCGAGAGTTCCCACCCTTCCTCCCTCTCTCGGGCCCGTCCCTGCGTGGGGTGGACTTGCCGTGGGAGCCGGGGTAAGCCAGACCTGTGATCCGGCCCTTACCCTACCCGGACCTCTGGGGGCCCGTGGGTGGGGCCAGGAGGGAGGCAGGGACTGGCCACGGGTGAGGTTCGACCTCTAGGTGGCAGCAGCAGCTAGCCCTGGCTCTTGCTCGCAGCCGCTGGGTGCCCTCCCTGGGCCCTGTGGGCAGGTGCTACGATCGCCCCCGTTTTACAGGTGAGGAAACGGGACACAGAGAGGTTAAGTAGCTGCCCCAAAGACGCAGCTGGCCGGCGGGTGGAAGCCATGCCTACCGCCAGCAGCACGCTGGAGATGGAGCAGATCCGATGCTCAGACGGGGACAGGGGAACTGGAAGAGAGGAAGGGGTCAGGAGATGCTGGGTGTCCATTCCAAACTGAGGGCCGCCTGCTGCTTCTGCCCCAGAGTTCTGAGTGCCTTTTCCCGGCAGGGTGCCCGGGAGCCCCGGAATGCAGGCCTGGGACGCCCGGCTCCCCGCCGGCCCGCGTGGGGGCCCCCGGACGGGGGCTGGGACTACGCGAAGTGGAAGCAGGAGCGGGAGGAGATCGACCTGGCCCGCCTCGCCCGGCACAGGGATGCACAGGGTGACTGGCGCCGCCCATGGGACCTGGACAAGGCCAAGCCCACGTGGGTGGCGGGCAGGGAGCCTGTGGGGCTGGGGGCAGGCTGACTGTGGGTGCTGCTTGGGGCGCTGGTAGGGCCTCCCCAGGGTGGTGAGGGTTTGCCTGGGCCTTCCGGGCAGGGCTCTGTGCGGGCACTGGGCCCCCCATCTTCCTGCTGCCCTCAGTTCTGGGGCTTGGGTGGGGAGGTGGGGCAGGGGTGGGTCTTGCTGCAGCCTCTGTCCCCCCCGCACCAGCAGCCTGATGGCCTCTCTGTCTCCACAGCAAGCCTCGGGACGAGGGCCCCGGCGGGACAGGCAGCGCCAGGGGTGAGCCACACCCCACCTCACTGCCTGCCCATCTTTGGCTTTTTTTTTTTTTTTTTTTTTTACCCCCCTGCCCCCTCTTCCTCTCTGTTCTCTGCTCCTTGGTTTGCCACTTATTTTTAGAGCTGCCAGGAAGCATGGAAGAGCATCTTCCTTCCTCCCCCTTGCTATCGGAGGAGGTCACCATGACCCCTGCTCCCCTCCAAACCACAGCTCCTGCCCCTGGCTCTGGCCCCGGAGGTCTGGGGAGAGCTGAGGGTTGTTGGCTCCTCGTGGGCGAGAGCCCGAGTTCCCTGCCCTTGGCCGGGCCTGGAACAGAGCTCTGTGGGTCCCTGGTCCCTTGTCTGACACACGGGGAGGCTGGTGCAGGGGCGGCTGGCCTGCCATGAAGGCAGGAGTGGCAAAGTGAGCAAGGGGCCCAGCCATCCTGGCCGCTAGGCCAGGGCTTGGTGTGGGAGCCAGAAAACCACAGCCAAACCGAGAGAATGAGCACCAGCTCCCTGGTCCTGGGAGGACTGGTGTTTGGATCCTCTGTCACCCTCCCTTCGCCCATTTCCTTGGCCTCACTTAGGTCCCAGGAGCCACCGGAAGCTGCAGCCCCCACCCCGGTCCCCTGACGGCAAAGGTGAGGGAGGAGAGAGGGAGGAGCAGGGTCCCCTGAGCTGGGGAGGGAGCCGGCTGCTCAGGTCTCTTCTCACCCTGATCTGTGGGCCGTTCCTTGCAGGTGGTGCCGCTCGGGGCGGGCCATCTGGCAGGCCCTTGGTGGCCCTGGCCCTGCACAGCAAAGCCCGCGGGACGGAGAGGCTGACCGGCAGGGCCCGCAGGTAACGGGGAGGGGGGGGGGGGGCAAAGTCAAGGGCAGCGTCTGAGTGTCCTGGTTTCCTGGCTCCCTTCTGCCCCAGAAATTGAGGACCCACACTGGTCCGGGCGCCAGTTCTGGTTGACTGCTGCCTGTGGCCGGGTGGCCGGTTAATGAGGCGCAGGGAGAGGCCATCGGCCAAGGCGGCAGCAGCCAGCGAGAGCCTGGCGCCCAGGGAGCCGGTGGTGATTACAGCAGTCACCTTCCCCCGGGGAGTCAGTGCCTTTCCCAGGCAGCGCAGGCGGGGCCGGCCCGGAGTCTCCACCGAACTCAGGGTGCTTCAGGCTGGGCCATGCTTAGCGGGGACACACACACACACACACACACACACACACACACACACACACACGGGCACACGACGGGACCTGAGATGCGGCTGAGGCGGGCAGTGTTCAGAGGAAACTGAATTCGGGGAGCAAGGCGGGTTGGAAGGGAAGCATCCCGGAGTCTCCTCCTGGCTCGGAGGCTCCTGAGGCCCCGGAGCCACTGACTCCAGTGCTGAGGACGCGAGGTGGGGTGGGTAAGGGGAGGGCCTGCCATGTGCGGTGTTTCTCCAGGTGGGAGACCAAGGAAGACCAGGAGGCGGTGGAGAGCCAGGAGGTGGGTACCTGGGCAGAGGGGGGGGGCGGGCCAGGGCCAGGAGCCCTGGTGTGCCAGCCGGCCATGCCAATTTCTTGTTTCAGGGAGGTGAAAGCACCAGCCAGACTCTGAAGGAGGAGGAACAGGCACAGGCCCAGGGCAGCACGGAGCAGGGCAGCCCCCCGAGCGCCCTGGCAGCCAGCCCCGCCCTGGCTTCCCCCACGAGGACCAAGGGGGAGTCAGAAGCTTCGGCAGCCAGTCCAGCCCCCGGCTCTCCACAGAACGCGGACCTGGCCCCCCTTGACCTCTCCCTCAGAGGCCCCGGGGGCCCCGGGCCTGGGAAGGACACGTGTCTGAGGCCGGGGGCCCGGGAGAGCCCTGTGTCCCCGGGGGAGGGTTCTGAGCGGCCTGTGTGTTTGGATAACCCCCAGGCTGAGCAGGAAGCCCAGGCTTGCTCGGAGCCACAAAGAGGAGCAGGGCCCCTTGAGCCCAGGAGAGACAGGCCTGGCAGGGCTGGGGCCCAGCAGGGGCTGGCCCCGCGAGGCAGGCCCCCCCGAGGAGCAGGCCAACGAGCGAGGGGCACAGGAGGCGTGGGGAGTGGAAGAGGGGGCCCCAGCCCTGCGAGGAGATGCTGAGCAAAGCCCCGGGGAGCAGGGGCACCAGATTGAGAAGAGAAGGAACAGTCACAGTCAAGAGCCTTCTCTGTGACGGGTGTCTGGTTGCTGTGGCTGGTGGCCGTGTGGCTCAGTGGTTTGGCAAACTCTCTGGACCAGTGACGTGTGGGAGCCAGGAGCTGTCCTTCCTGCACCTCCTGTGCACATCCCTGGGCATGTGTGTTTCCCACACCCGGTCTCTGAGGCTGGTAAGCCCTGCCTGGGTCTACTGCTGCCTGGGCCTCCAGCTTGCCCTGCCCTGCCCTGCCCTGCCCCCCAGAGAGCAAGGCTGAGAAGCACTTAGCACCTGGCTTGTGTGGCCTCCCTCTCCAGCTGCCAGCTGCCAGCTCCTCGGTGCAGGCACTCCGGCAGCTGGCATGACCAGCCCAGGCCTGGGCCCTTTCCCTCGCCTCTGCCTTGCACCCAGACTCACAGGGCGGCCAATCCAGCGGCCAGAAGCCTTCGGCCTTTCTAGAAAAGCAGGCTGACGCCCAGAGAAAGGGAGGCCGCAGCCGGGAGAGCAGAGCTCAGGTCTCCCCCGGGAAGACTTCCTCCCTGAAATGGAGTAAGAGCGGGAGAGGAGGGGACGGTGCAGTGGGAGACCTCACCATCAGGGACCACCCCCACACCAGTTCAGACACTGAGTGTACCCTGCAGGGGGGGCCAGGGACCAGCCCTGCAGCCTGAGGCCATTCCCTGCCATCTCCTCCTTCCTCTCCCACCACCTCACTGCGCCAGTCAGGCAAAAGCAAGGACGCAGACAGGATCTCAGAGAAACAGCAACTCTCCCTAAGTACGACATCAGGGCTTGTCTTTCCTACTGAAGTCTCCATTTCTGCCCCTCCTCTGAGGCCCACGTCTGGTGAATTATCCAGACTCCGCACAAGCTGTGGCTTCCTCTCAATTCAACAAACATTTCCTGAGCACACACTACCAGCAACGCAGCCTGTGGGCGACAGTGACTTTGCCAGCGAGGGGGAGGGAGGAAACCTAGTCATCCGGCTGATCCAGGGCAGAGCCAGGCTGCACAGCGGGAGCCCGACAGGAGACAGGGCCTGGGATGGTGGGAGGAACCCTCCCTTCCTCAGTGCCTGTACCCTTTGCCCCCGAGCCTTTGCCTGGATCTCCCTGAGGGCCTCCCTCTGCTCCCCTCCTCTCTGCTCCTGCCATGGCTGTTCCTCTCTGCTGGCCTCACCAGCTTCCCTAGGCTCTCTGCGGAGCACCCAGATTGTCCCCGGGATGTCCATTGTCAAAGGGAGGCCTTGACTATGAGGTCGCGGGCTGGGCTTCCTCAGGGGCTCTCACTGTACCCTCCCCACCCATTCAGGAAGCGAGGGGAGGGGCTCATGTTGACAGCAGTGCTTCTCCCTCGCTGAGGTGCAGAGCGATGCAGATGCTAATGCAGCAGGCCCGGGACTTTCAGGTCTGATGCATCGCCAGCTGGGGCCTATGCCGCTGATTCCTGGACCACACTTTAGCAGTCAGGGTTTGGACCAGCATCTGGGGGGCTGGGGGCAAAGACAGACTAGACTCTCACTGCCCGCTGCTGCCTGCAGAAGGCTGAGCTGCCTGGTTTCAGCGCTGCCCCTGTGTGGGAAGCTGAGGCAGCTGGGGAGAGGTGGAGAGGCCAGTGACTGGGCTGCCAGCTTCCCGAGGTGAGAGTGGAAAAGCTGGGTGGGAAAGGGCTGAGGTGAAGGGGCTGGAAGAGGCTGGTCTGGGTTGGCCAAAGGGATTGTGAAAAGGCTTGGGAACATGCCTATGCGTATGGGAGGAAGACCCCAGGAAATGAACAGGCCAGAGTGAAAGTCCTCGCTCAAGCTTTCCTCTTGCCTCCCAGTCACACAGATATGGCTTTGGAGCTTTGCCCTGGTCCTGGAACCCATAACTTCCAGAGGCTGGAGCTGGGGTAGGCAGAGCCCTTCAATGCAGGTGTCCCCAACAATAACTGTGACCAAGAATCTGAATTCTAAGGTTCACAAACTTCTCTCAACTCCAGTGCTGCCATCAGTACAGGAGTGTCTTCATTCGAGGGTGTGTTGACTGTGGGATGGGGATGTAGCATTTGGGCAGAGTGCTGGTTCAGACCTCACAACAGGACATAAGCAAGAGAGAAAGAGGGGCAGGGGGCTACGGACAGATAGGGCTTCTCTCCCTGAGGGCCACACCCAAAAGGATGTTAGCAGAAAGGGAGTCACGAGGGGCTGGAAAGAAGACTGGCACAGGACAGTCTCCCTGGAGGAAGACTGTAGAGCAAGGCAAATGTCACTGTAGCTTAATAACAAAGGGGAGCCCTGCCCTGCCCTGGCCAGTATGGCTCAGTGGTGGAGCACTGGCCCATGCACCAGAGGTTCGTGGGTTCGATTCCTGGTCAATGGGCACATACCAGGCCCATTGTGTGGGAGGCAAGCAATCGATGTGTCTCTCTCACATGAATATTTCTCTCTCTCTCTCCCCTCCCACTCTAAAAATCAATGGAAAAAACATCCTGGGGTGAGGAGTAACACCACCAAACAGAAGGGAGCCCTTTTCCAGGAGCCAGCACCTCTGAGGGCCGCCCCTCCTGCCCTCAGGACCAGATGTGGAGCAGGAGGGGGACATGGGTAGACACCCCTCCACAGAATTCGGGGTCCTGGAAGGCTGGCTTTCTCTCTTCCTGGACCCTAAAGGCCTGGTCCGGCGCCTTCCTCTTAGAATCCCTTCTCTGCTCCAACCGACAGACAGGATTGCTCTTAAAAGTGGAAGTTCTTCGTGAGACACGGCTTTCAGGAGCCCCAGAGCCGGAGGAACTGAGAAGGGAGGGCGCAGAGGGTAACAGGAAACCAGCAGGGAGATGACAGCTTTACCGAAGGCCTCAAAACAGGGGGCGCGGAAGAGGCAGGCGCAGCCCTGTGCTGGGCCCATGTCCCTTCGCAGAGAGGAACAGCAGACCGTATTGTAAGGGTGGTATTGTAAGGGCGTTCTGTTTTGTTTTGTTTTAAACAGATTTCTTATTGGTTTTTAGAGAAGAAGGTTGAGGGTGAGAGAGAAACAATGACATAACATCGATCAGCTGTCCCCTGCCCTCCCCCAACTGGGATGGAGCCTGCAACCTGGGCATCAGTTTCTGGTTCAGGAACTGAACCAGCCTCTCACTGCCTGCTGCTGCCTGTGGAAGGCTGAGCTGCCTGGTTTCAGCGCTGCCCCTGTGTGGGAATGACATAACATCATTATGATGTTATGTCATTAAGAACTGAACCAGGAACTGAACCAGCGACCTTCCAGGGCATGGGACAAAGCCCAAACAACTGAGCCACACCGGCCAGGGTGGGAGGGCCCTTTTTTTGATGATAGGATGCACATGAGCTTTGGGATCCGACAGACTGAATCTGAATCCTGTTTGCCACCTGCCAGCTGGATGACCGTGGTCAATTTAGCTTCTAAAAGCCTGTGTTCTGATCTGCAACAGGGGGCTAGTAATATCTAGTTGAAAGGCTGTTCCAATAAAGATCAGAGTATGCAAAACATGCCTGGCACACAGTAGGCACTCTATTAACAGTAGCCTGGCACCGGAAGGCACTTGGTGAATGAATCCTGTTGAATAAATGAAGTAGTTATTTGGTGTGACCTGTCTACTTTGTTTCCCATCTTTTCTTTTACTTTCTCTTCTGGTCTCATCTTCACGGGGTCAGGACGCCCTCAGGGAGACAAGGGGTGGTTTATAAAGCTGAGCAGCTCTCGCCCTGGGAAGTCTAGTTGAGTCACGGCCTCAGGAAGTGACCCCTCTCTCACAGGGAGGGTCTTTGCCCCCATCCTCCAGTGCTTCTGCCCGCCTCTGCACACTGGCTCTCACAGTTCAGAGCGGTCTCTCTTTCCCTCCGTTCCCATCATTAGGAATCTCATGAACTCCCACCAGCGTTTACTCCTTTAATATTTCCCCCAGAAACACACTCGACTTGTGGAGTTTGCTCCATGTCTCCCAGTGTTAAGTGTTGTCTCCCAAAGGAGCAGCATGACTATGTTCTTATGGTCAAGGGGTGGGTAATTGGGGATCCCTAGAAGCAGGGGCTCCCCAGCTCTCTTGCTACCCAACAAGGCACAAGTTGGGAAGGTTTGACCACCAGTCAACTCCAATCCCAACCCTGGCCTCGGAGACTGGAATGACAGGTAAAGATGGTACTAGCCCCCCAGAAGATCAAAGGGAACTGCCAAAAATCCCCCCTACTTTCTTATTTTGGGGTTTAGTCAGAGGGGATCAAGGGCAAAGGAGAAAGTAAAGACACCAACCCCTTCACTCTGCCTCTCGAGTCATTTATCGGCACCAACAGACCCCGGCAGGCGTCTCGCTGAGCGAGGGTTATCAGGGCTTCTGAGGAAGGGCTGACGCTGGCTAACCACAGCCTCACGGAGGGGGAGAAGGCAAGGCTGGGAAAGGCAAAGAGAGGAGCCGGCAGGAGGCCCAGACTGAGGCTGCTGGCCCCCGTCACAGCCGCTCATTAAGCATCCACTTGACGCCAGGGACGTGAGATTGCGCAGACCTGGCACCAGAAGGAACCGATGTGGCACCCACTGCTCCTTTTAAGGACTGGCTCTGGGAGCAGCAGGCTCCGGGAGGAGGTGAGGCAAACACATCGGTACCTTTGGAGGAGGGGAAAGAGGACTGTCTCCTTGGAGGAAGGGAGAGAGGACTGTCTCCTTGGAGGAAGGGAGAGGGGACTGCCTCCTTGTTAACATGCTCGCTCTCTGCGCGAGTTCTGCTGTAACTGTCTCTGCTGTAACTGTCACAAATGCTCAGCACCCTGGGCTTTTCCCCTTTTCTCACCAACTCTGGGGACACAGCCTTTCCCTCCCCCCTGGCAGGGCAGCTGGCTTCAGCCAAGAGGATCAAAAACCCCCTTGATAATCATCTGTCAAAACAGAAATACCCTCAGCCCTGGCCAGTGTGGCTCAGTTGGTTGGACATCATCCCATACACCAAGAGGCGGCGGGTTCGAGTCTCAGTCAGCGCATGTACAGGAGGCAGCTGGTTGATGTTTTTCTCACATTGATGTTTCCATATCTCTCTCCCTCTCTCTCTCTCTCTCCCTCTCTCTCTTTCTCTCCCCCCCCCCCCCCCCCCGCTTCCTCTCTCTGAAATCAAAATAACAGAAATACCCTCACCTGTTGCAGGTTCTGAAGGAAAGGCTGGACCAGTGGTTCTCAATTTTAGTATGCATCAGACTCACCTGGAAGGCTAATTAAAACACAATGCTGGGCCCTAGTGGGTTTGGCTCAGTGGATAGAGCATTGGCCTGCGGACTGAAAGGTCCCAGGTTTGATTCTGGTCAAGGGCATGTACCTTGGTTGCGGGCACATCCCCGGTGTTTCTCTCTCATCGATGTTTCTAACTCTCTATCCCTCTCCCTTCCTCTCTGAAAATATATATTAAACAAATAAGCACAATGCTGGGCTCCATTCCTGGATTTCTCACTCAGTTGGTCTGAGATGGGGCCCAAGACATGGCATTCCTAAAGTTCCCAGGGATGCTCAGCTGATGGTCTGGGCCTGGTGGGGTGTTTCTACCTGTCCCTTCCCATTTCTTTCCATGCGTCGGTTTTCCCCAAAGGGACAGACATACCTTTGAAAACATATTACCCCATGTGTGAACACGGTACTTTTATTCCCAAGATCTCCAAGGCCTGTCACCTCTATTGCCTCCATTTGCTCTCAAGGGCCATCACCAATGCCATCGAGTCCTCAATTTGCCCATTCAGGAGTCCCTCCTAAGAGCATGTGGCCTCCCACCCGGGTCCCCACGATCCTGTGAGCTGTTAGCGGACCAGAGACTGGCTGCTGTGACACACCCTGCCCAGGCTGACCAGCAGGGCGCTGCGGGGATGAGTGGCCTCCAGAACACAGTTCGGGGAGACTCAACTCGTGACTCAGGATACTACGGAGGTAGCCGAGAGAGGTATATTTAAAAGCAAATCCTTGGTAATCAACATAATTGCTTTTTTGGACAAGTTGGCTTTGGGATGTTTGAGGCTCACTTTGTCACACTATAGGCACTACATAAATAGTTCTTGAATTAATGGTAGTGGTTTATGGAAAATAAGTTAGAATCTTACTGCTGCCTGATAAGCTATTAGCCAAAACAGATAACTGAAGTTAAGAAAACAGGGCGATGACTAAGGTAGACTCTTGCTGGCATGACTGTCAAGTCCTTGAGGGTGAGAACGGTGTGGCAGCTGTCTGGCCCGCAGCAGTGGTGAACTGTGCTCCTCACCGACCAGGTGGCTCCCGAGCATCATGGGAGCATAGCTGTTTCTGTACTTAGGATGGAGAGCCTGGCTGTGCGGTTAAAAAAAAAAAAAAAAAAAAAAAAGGTTTTGTTTATATTCTTAAAATTAGATACTGGAGGGAACAAAGAGCAGAACAAGGAACATAGGTTTTCTGGTAGCAAAAACCCACAGGCTATGTCAGCAAGTAAAACTGCTAATGGAGTAGGTGTTTTTATAGCTTAAAGGGTCAGAAAGCAGGAGACAATGAATGGGTCACACATTCCTTGTTGCCTCCATTTAGCACCTCATGGAATACAGCTGTGGCTTCTGGAGCCGGAAAGAACAGGCAGGCCCAGCCCACTTCCCACAAAGGCAGAAAACAGCGGCTGGCATGGCCAGGGCAGCTGTGATTTGTGGGGGTTTCTCTTCCGCCATCAGTCCACTCTCCTGAAGCAGATTATGGGCTGTGGGTCCACAAGTGAAATATGACCTTGACACCACAATGACACGGGAACAAGGCTGTCCAACACAGTGACTGACCAGGTGAGCAACAAACTCAGCGCACCTACGACCTGGCCAGGCACTGAGCTTAGCCTGTGTCTCAGCCCAGAGAGACCAAAACACAACACACACACACACACACACACACACACACACACACACACACACACAAAGCCCCTCCAGCTGTAACCCTTTTGTTAATGCAATTGCGATTCCAGAAATACCTCTTTTCTCTGCAAACAGGAAGGGGAGGACAATGATTCCCCCTTTTAAGTAGCTGTGGTAGCCCTAAAGCTTAGGAGTTGACCTTTCAGTTCCCCGAAGAAGCATGTAAAAACAAGTAGATGCTCTCCCTCAGCATTTCAAAACAGGATATAAATACTCAACCGAAGAACACAGTATCTTAGCATTCCCCAGTGAAAACTGAAAGACAAGGTAGGCAGAAAATGGTCTCATACTGTGCAGAAACCTAGAGCTTAGGAAAAAAAAACATTTCTTCTGCTTAAAACTTTGGAGAAACACTTTTCGTACCTCAGCATTCCCTGGGGGAGAGAAATGATACTCCAACTCAGTGTAACTGGCTTAGCAAACTCCTGGCCCCTCACCCTCCAAAACCTCTTTCAAAAGAGGGTTATCTATCTCTTCCTTCCCACTCAGGCTGTCAGGGAATACGCGCACGGCAGTCAGTATAAGTAAACACGGAGAAATTATCCTCGTGGTGCAGGTACAAAGCAGTTAGTTGAAGGAAAGGAACAGCCTCTGCACAAATCCCTCTCTTCTGACTCAACAGCTGTAGGACAATTTTGTAGATAATGCCTCACCCTCGAAAAGAGACCACTATTGAGACCACTGCCCCCACCAGCTGGGTTCGGTTCTGGTGGAATGGTGCCCATCCCGTCAGCCGGCAGGCCCTTGCCACACAGCCTGCTGCAGGGCCCACCGTGAGAAGCCGGTGCAGCAGCAAAAGCCACACGTCACCATCCACGGAGAGGGAGCCTGCCCAGAACCACAAAACGCTCTCCCGCCCCTTCAGCTCTGCCTTCCCGAGCCCCCTCACAGAAAGCCATTATGTAGGCTGAAGAGGGGAATAAAAGGAGGGCGGACTTTCCCGGCTCCCCTGCAGACTACAAGGTGATGTAAAAGAACAGCAGCCACCCCCCAACCGCTCTGCAGAAGTGCAGGCCCCAGGAGGCCCCACCAACACTGGCTTTTGGCTGTGTACTGGGCAGCGCCGTCGAATAATGAGCCGAGCTCAATTGCTTGCCATGTATTTTGAGGCATAACTAATCCCTTAGTTTTGTGCTTTTCACCCACATGCCTCTTATTGTTTGCGTTAGGGGGAGGAAAAGCCTCACCTTTGGAGCAATCTAAAGTTCTCTCAGCAGTTGACTCTCTCGCCTTCTCCATTTAGACAAAGCCCTGACCAGCCGCTGCAGCCTCCTATGTCTTTCCCGGTGTTAGCATTTCCTGAACTATCTAGGGGAAAACGGTTTGTTTAAAGCTGCGAAGAGTGGTGTTATCATGCGGCTTATCCTCACCTCAGCCCTCAGCCAGCTCAACATTTGCAATAATTCTTAATAGGCATGGTGGCCGACCCCTTAGCTTCTTCAGCGAGACATCTGTTCAGAATCCTATAAAAGCAGAACCCCACCCCCCGACCTTTTAAAGCTAGATATCACCGTCCTGCCAGCCCCATCATTGCTTCCCGACTAGGATGGATCTTGCCACCCTTGACTAATCAGTTCAGTCAAGCCATCCGGCAGAGAACATTAGGACAATTGTTTTTTCCTCCGACAGCTATTTACCATCGCCCATCCACCACATCTCAGACCATTTCCTCTTCCAACTTCTACTCCTTCCCCAAGGAATCCGAAAACAGAAACAACTTACACAGGCTTACGCAGAGTTCTTAGAATGTATTTTTGTTCACCTGAAAAATAAAACTTTTAAAAAATATACAAGACTTTTTTTTGAGTACAGGTATATCTTAAATGGCTGAATTATAAATAATGTCTCTGGTCATGTTCACAGCGAGGGCTGGAACTAATGTCCGGTTCCAGTGAAGGCGTTAAGAGTCAGGAGGCCAGCAGTTGGGCCCGTGAGTGGTCTCCCTAGACTCTGATCCATCCCAGGGTGGATCCGACAGTCCAGAACGCAGGGGTCGGGATGGGGACAGGGAGGTTGGACTCCCCGATGTTCTCCTGCAGGTTCAAAGAATTCTTGGGATAAGAGATCCATTTATAAATTATTAAAATAGAGGGCTAAAAATTCACACAATAAATATAAAGTACAGGCTATTATTGAAGTTATAAAGTGGCATTTTATGTTTCTCCCCCATAGGTCCCCACCAGAAATTTAAAAGGCCTCAGAGGCTTTCTAATGACAGAAGTCAAGTCAGCTGCTCAGAAATCTCTTCCAGCAAGACACCGAGGGGTGCTGCCAGCCGCCCCAGGCTATGACAGCTCAGCTGCAGTTTTCTTGCCCACAACAGGACATGGCTTAAAGCAAGGCTGTGCGTCCTTGGATCAGAGCTAACTAGAGTGCAGGCCAGAAAACTGGAGAGACAAACTGTTTCAGGGCTCAGGTGGCTATATTTGTCCTTTTTATAAAAAGGTGCCTCATTTCCCAAAAAAGGAAACATTAAGGGTTTTGGTATCTTGTCATACCCACACTCAATTGCCTAAAAGCAAGTGGCAGAAGGAGATGGAATCCTAATTGAGGATGCATAATTCTCGCTACCCCAGACCTCTGCCAAGTGTCATTCCCCTTGATGTTTCTCATCTAAGAAAAAGCACAGGAGTTTATCAGGAGGGGTAAAGACAAGCCAATTTAACCTTGCCACCGCTCGCCTATTACCTGGCTACCAAAGCACAATCCCGAGCTCCAAGTTCATCTTTTAAACCAGAGGATGTGTTCAAAGCTCTGATTTCACAAAGTTCATCCTAATCGCTGGGCTAACTTGTCACTACGAGCTCAGGACAGAGGGAAGGCTGGGATAACTACTGGACCAAGACAAGATTTTCAGGAGGTGGTGGTGGTGGTGGGGGGAAATAAAACAAACACTCGTGAGTTACTCTACATACAAAAGCTTGCTCTTCCTAAAAAACTGTGAGAAGGCCAAAGACTGAGGCACACAGGCATCGCTCTCTCCCTTTCCCCTGGCCCATAGCCAGATGCTTAGGGTGCTGCTGGAAACCTCCCGGATGGGGTCACTAGGATGGGAAGAGATCCGCACACTCCCAAAACTGCTTCTACGTCCTTTCAGCAAGTCGAAGAGTGATTATACTCTTTGTGTGGCATAAACCTGTTTCTGAAGTAAAGAGGGAAAGAGTGGATGATGGAAAAAAAAACAAAAAAAAAAAACAGTTTGTGCCCTGTGGCCGGCTGCACTCCTGGGCCCAGCAAATAGCCCTTTTGCCTGACCCCATCAGCCACGCAGGGCGTGGGAGGATATATATCACACTATGCAATTACAACTCCCGGTGCATTTGTCCACAGCTATATACAGGGGTCTATCAATTAAACGCATTCGTGGTCACTGCAACTAGGTTGACGTACCTGAGCTCCCCTGCTTTTTTGGTGCCCTCCCTCCTTCCGACAGCTTCAGCTGATTCAAGAGCCCGTGCGGCTCCCTTTTTCCCCTGAGTCTTGTGGGGGGAAAGCCCGGGTCACCCCTGCACGAAGGATACACCCCTGCCAGCGGCGCACAAGGGTTCGGTGCTGGGTCCCCCCCCCCCCCGCTCCCTGCCCCCCTTTATGGCTCATAGACCCGGCGCCGCCGCCGCCGCCGCACAGTCCTGGGAAGACCGAACCCCCGAGTCCCAGACCGGCCGAGGTCCCGCCGCTGAAGACCGGGCTGCAGGCTGCTCGCCCCGCCGGTCGGCGCTGCTCGTCGGGGAAGGGGGCGTTCGCTGCGCGGGGGTCCCTCCCGCGGGCTCTCCGTCCGTCCGGCTGCCCAGTCCGGCGTCCCGGCTCCCCGCCGCCCAGGGGCGAGCGCGCGCCTCACCGGCTCCCGGGCGCCGCCGCTTCCTCCTCGTCCTCCTCCGGGCCTCGCGCCCGCGGCGGCGGCGGCCGGGCCAGGGGGCCGTCGGCCGGGGGCGCGGGCGGCGGGGCCCCGGCCGCCTGCAGCGGGGGCGCGGCGCGCGGCGCCTCGCGGCGGGACGGGCCGGTGGCGTTGGGCCCCGCGGCCGCCCCCGAGGTCCCGGACTGGCCGGTGGCGTTGGCGCCGCCGGGGGGCGGGCCGGCGGCTGCCCCCGAGGAGCCGGCGCCCACCGGCTGCCAGATGAGGCTGTAGTAGACGGCCAGCACGATGGCCGCCAGCGACACGGACAGCACGTAGGCGAACACGGTGGCGAGCCGGACCCACTTCTTGTTGGTCTTGGCCGCCATCTTCGCCTTCTTGTCCCCGGTGTAGGTGGCCGGCTTGCCCCGCTCGGACGGGGCCGCGTCGCGCTCCTTCATGGGGGGGCCCCGGCCTCGGGCGCGGCGCTCCACGGCCCCGGCGGGCGGGGGCCTGGCGGCCTGGAGGACGAGGGGGGCGGGGGCGCCCCGGTTCGCGGCCGCTCCGCCGCGCTCCTCACGCCGCCCGCCCGCAGCCTGCCAGCCGCGTCGCTGCCGCCGCCGCCGCCGCCACCACCGCCTGGGCCGGGGCCTGGGCCAGTCCCCGCCGCCAGCGCCGCCGCCGCCGCCGGCCCGTCAGCTGCTTCCCCGCCGCCGCCACAGCCACAGCCGCCGCAGCCGCCCGGCTCCGCGTCCCCATCCGCCGCTGCCGCCGTCTGCCTGGCCGCCGGCCGCTCGGTCTCCAGTGGCCGCGCCGACCGCGCTGCTCCAGCCCGGCTCCCCCGCCTGACGCGCCGGGCCCGGGGCGGGAGCGCCGCGGGGGGCTGCCCTTAAAGGGGCGACGCCGGGTCCGGAAGCGCCGCGGGAGGCGGGCTGCTGTCGGCGTCGCCAGCCCGCCGGGCGCCCGGGGGCGAGAGGGTTAAAGGAGGCTGGTCTTAAAGGGGCCGCAGCCCCGCGCCCGCCGCCCGCGAGGGGGGGCTCCGGTGCTGCTTTAAAGGGGGATCCGCGTCCCGTGGGGAGGAGAGCGGACAGGAAAGGGGCGGGGATGGGGGGGGGGACGGAGCGCGGAGCTGTCAACTCTGGCGACTCTCCTCCCGGCCGACGGTCCGGAGGAGGAACGGCAGCACCAGCGTGGGCCCCAGGCCTCGGTGCGCCCCGGAGTGGGGGGTGACAGCACGCGCGTGCTCCCGGCGCGCGCCCCGCTCCACGTGGCCGTCCAGGCCCCTTTGCACCCGGCGGCTCCAGCCCGCGCCCCGCAGGCAGGCGAGGACCGGCCCTGCGCGCCCAGCTCCCGGCAGGTCGCGCCCCTTCCCCGCCGGCCCCACCCCCGTTCCCCGTTCCGTCCAGCCCGGGCTTCGGGGCTTCGCTGAAATCCGTCCGATTCCTTGCCCTCTTAAGGCCCCGGTCAGGGTGCCCAGAGCTTCACGTGCTAGGCTCGCTCTCCAGGCTCGCCTCCCATCTTAGTGCCAAAGTTTGCAACAGGTGTCCTCCCGCTGTCGGGGGCTTCCGACCCCAGGCCGAGGGGCTGCATTGAGCCCGTGGCGCGGCTGCAAGAGCTTTTACCACCTCGCATCCTCTCCCCGCCGCAGAGCCCGGGCCTTTGTTCCCTCGCCCCCATCCCCACCCCGTTCCCCTGTGAGGTTTGTTCTCTGGTCGATTCTGAGGATCCCTCTCCCAGCTCGGACTCTTCAGCAGACGCCTTTCCCTGAGTCTTCCCCTTCTTCTACCTTTCCCGCTCCTGCCTTCTCTTCTTCCTATTCTCTCTTTACAAGGTTTTCCAGAATTTCTAGGTCCCTCCTCCTTGAATTCTACTTCCTATGTTCCCAGAACCGGGTGTATGGACCACTTGGGTGTGGGAGACTGTACCTGTGTGGGGAGAGGACCGTGGTCCTGATGGGCTTCTGTGGGCAAACAGCTTCCTCCCAACTCCTGCCCCTGCAGATGCGAGCCTGACTTTTCGCTTCTGACTCTGGGGCAGGACCCTCTCGCCTTTCCCATTTCCCTCATCCTCCACGGGAGACCTATGGTTTCCAGACACATGCCCCATGATGGGGAATCCCCTTCACAACGCTGCTGTCCTGCCCGTGCTAGGATAGGCCTAGTGAGAGAAGTCAGAGAATCAAGGCAGGGTGGGGACCGAAAGCGCCCAAAAGACCATCTTTTGTAAATGCCCCATGGACCCTAGAACCTCCTGCACCACATCCTATGGAGCACTCTTCAGCTCCCGTAGACATTCTCTGTGATGGTGGACCTTGCCTGCTCCCAGAGGCAGCGTCTTAGCCTCTGGACAGTCCTGACCAATTACACACAGAAGTCAGGCGGCTACCGGAACGGAGTGTGCTAATGGCCGAGGGAGCCAAAGGCCTTTAACCCGACCCCTCACTCCCATTCCTGAGGCCCAGCTGTGAGCCTGCCACTAACAGTGGCCAACTGGATGCTATTTCCAGAACAGCCTGCCTTTTCACTTTCTGAGGAATTTCAAGAACGTTAGACGTTCAGAGTGTGTATTGTCTTCTGCTGGTCCGATGGGGGAAAGACAACCACTCCTTCCCATCCTGCTCCCAGGTCAGCCACAGGGGGCTGCTGAGTTAAAATCCCTGAATTGCCTCCGAATGTTGTCCTCTCCTCTCCCCTGCTCTCTGGCTTTCCTGGCAGGACTGATCATACCAACTATACAAGGTAAATTATTCGGAAAGAGTCCAGGTAAAGCCTCCTCCTGGAATTCACCCGGTATTTCTTCTGTTGCAAATTAAAACTTCTTTCTTCTTGCTTGGTTCTCAGTGGAGTGGAAAACAGCATGCAATTCTTTTCTATACTAAAGAATAAGCGTACTTGAGAAGCACTTATTCAAATCCTCTCAGCCTATTTTTCTCTAAACTAAACAGTGCCAGATTCTTTAACCTATCAATAAGCCCTATTTATTATCTGGATTTACATAGTGTCTTTTACCCCCGGAACTCAAATAGCTTTCAGATATAATTGAGCCTGATCTCCCTGGTGCTTGAGCCATTAAGAAACCATTAGTGTATTCTTGCTGCAGGCAACTAAATGGCCCCCTAGTGGCCTGAAGGTGAATATGCTTCCTTAAGTGCCTCTCCCCCACTAAGGGAGGAGAGGGAGAGAAATCAGCATCAAAGCAGGGTGGGGACAGAAATGGCTCAGAAGGACATTTTAAAATATATATATATTTTTTATTGATTTTTTTATAGAGAGGAAAGGAGAGGGATAGTTATAAACATCGATGAGAGAGAACCATCGATCAGCTGCCTCTTGCACGCCCCCCCACTGAGGATGTGCCTGCAACCAAGGTACATGCCCTTGACCGGAATCGAACCTGGGACCTTTCAGTCCGCAGGCCGACACTCTATCCACTGAGCCAAACCAGTTTCGGCCAGAAGGTCATTTTTTTGTAAATACTCTAATGGTCCCTAGAATGCCATCTCTATGGAGCATCAACTAAAAGACCCTCCATGATCGTGTACCTTGGCTGCTCCCTACGGCAGCCTTGGAAAGCTCTGACCAGTGATAACAGCAGCAACATCCACGCCCTAATGTGCTCTAGGTACTTACTGTTCCTTGTCTCACAACAACCTACAGGTGGGTACTCTGGAAGGGTTGGAGACCCATCTTGACTTGAATGGGCATACATTCTTGCTAAAGGTCTCGACCAGCACCACTCTCCAAGGGCTGAAAGAGTGTTTGATTCTCACATAATGTTGCATCAGATCGAGAGTCCCACTTTCTAGCAAAAGAGTGGACCTATAATTGTCTGGGCACATCACATACTTTGCTGCCCACTGGTGAATAGAGCTGATAGAGCCAAAGAACCGCCTTTCAAAGGTGTAGCTGAAGCACCACTTGAGTACAATGTGCTCGGCATGAAGTATGCACTCCACCCAATAACTATCATCTGGGCTACGGCTCAACAGCTGAAGTACAGAGGTCTAGGGAACCAGGGGTAGAAGGAGGAATAACCTCCCTCACCATCCCTCCCAGTGACCCTTGGGGAAGGGGTGGGTTTTGTGGTTCCTATTCCTGCAGTTCCAGGCTCTGTGGTTTAGAGAATCTGAGTCCCAGAGGCGGAACACTTCCAGCAGGGATCCACCATAAATGTTCAGTGTGGCCGTTTTTCATCCTTCAGACCCCTTGTGCCAAGAGACCAGCAGGCAAAGAAAGGAGTCACTTCCTGGCAGGGATAGGTGACCCTGGTCCTTTAGAAAACACAGGGCGGCTGCTATGCAGCAGGGTTAGGAAAGACTATGTTTGGCACGCAGGTGATGCACCCGGGTGTCTCTTGATACTCCCAGGCCCAACGTTTATAGAAAGCAGACAAATTCAGAAGCCTGGGTTGAGAAGGGCCTGGTGATTGGGCACCCAAACCCCTCAGGAACGCCACCAGGGAAGCCACCTAGACCAGCAGAGGTGCAAACTGAAGTAGAGAGACTCTAGACTGGGTAACGGGGCAGGGAGAATGCTGAATATCAGTGACACCAAGCCGGGTTGCAGTAGCGGGGAGTCAGGATGGAGCAGAGGAATGCATTGGTCAGTGATGCAGTCACCAGAAGGGACGCCTCCAAGGGGTCTCTGGAGTTGGGATGACGCTTCAGACCTGGCCTGAGGCAAGAGGCCTGGACCTTGGCGTCCCCACATTGGCCAGGCAGACGGTCCGGCTCAGGAAGCCAGACCAGGCAGCTCCCTTTGGAGGGCGCAATTGAGCTGTAAGCCCCCCCCCCCCGCCCCCCCCGGGCAGGCCGCCAGCACTCCTGGCAATTTGGGGTTAAGTTTCTTGGTCACAGATACAGGACCTACAACTGCAGTGGTGCCCCCTGGACATGGCTTAGCTTCGTATGGGAAGTTGGCTTTGTGTGGAAACAGCCCCTCCAGAATTCCAGTGACTGTTTTCTCGGGGAATCTTACCGGACGGGTGAGTAGGAGGAATTATTGCCCCTACTCCTAGGGATAATCTGCATCCAGAGCCCCCGTGGAGGCGTCCCTTGTGTGACTGCATCACTGATCAATGTATTCCTCTGCTCAGTCCTGACTCCTTCACTTCCTCAATGCCGTGTTGTTTCTGAGAGTGCCTCCCAATACACTTTCTGCAAGAAAACCGTTTCCTCATAATGCTTTCAGAGATACCTGAGCTAAGACAGTCACCTATGTCACCTAAGATTCTAACCTTGGGGACCCAGGAGAACAAGTCTCATCCATCTGAAGGTGGACCTCCTGGCCACCTGAGTCTTCTGAGCCATGGTCCCTCCGCCAGTCCTCACGGAGTATTGTGCATCCTACGTCCTGGCTGTCCACCACCAAATGCCCCCCCCCCCCCCGCTGTTTGTTCCCACCACGATAAAGCAACCAAACGGGAGTCCCTGAGTACACGAGAGACGTGGTCTGACAGGACA